CGCAGTTCTACTCCTCCACACGCCTTCACAGCCTACTACTCCCGCCAATAGTTGTACCTTGTGCGATGACTGCTCAGTCACGTGCATGCCCGATTTCATCATCGGCGTTGATGACTGATGTGACAATGACTCATCAATGCTGTCATCGGAAGCGGTGTCAACGCACACATCCCCGTGCGGCCAATCACCCCATTTAAACAGTCACGACAAGGAAGGCAAGGGAAGAAGTCGTTGCGAAAATGTCGACTTTGTCGAACTTTATGGTGCAAACAGGTCGCGTCGAATTATCTGCGACTTGTGAGTTAGCGTTGTTCCTCCTCGCGGCTGATGTGCATTCGGGTCTCTGTGTCCAGAGCCACCTACCGGTTTCTCACACGCAGCAGTCGACTCTCCTTTCCATCTATTTCCCCAGATCTTCTTATGCTCCTATGGAAAGGTTACACAGGCGTTATCTGTGGGCTGCGGACGAGTAAACATTTTGACAAAGAACTGAAGTTGCACCCAAGTTTGCACTTTCTGAAAGTGGTTGTGTGCAGAGCGATATTTACTGTTTCTAGTTCATTCATACTGATATTGGGAAAAAAACCAGTCATCGCTCTAATTGAGTGAACCAATTGTACCGGAAATGCCGACTCTCAAGGTAACACAGGCGTGCGGCCAAACAAACTGCCAAACGTTGAAATCACTTTCTCGCGCAGTGAACCCCGTGACGACTCCGAGATTCAACATGTTTGCAGTAATCTGTCATCCACCAGTGTCTTCTATCACATACATCAACCAGTCGTTGCGTGATCCTCAAGACTGTTTACTAAACCAAACGTGTGCACCTAAATGACGAAAGACAAGATCTTATTTCGTATCCGTATCTTTTAGGATTTGGCGGCTTGGGTCAGGGGCTGGGGTTAGGGGTTAAGGTTAGGCTGGGGCTTGTCTACTTCAGGTACGGCTACAAAATAAGATCCGACCCAACTAAACGACAGAGGAGATAGGAGAAGGGTCGTCACGACAATAGCACCACCATGGTAAGAATTACAACCCACGTAAAGGCGGACATTAATTGAACTACTTAGTTAGATTTTTGTCGAAGGCCCCGCCCTCTCACCCACACTCTTCATACAGTCAACAGGGGAGAGGGTGACGGCAGGTGAATGAAGAGTAGTCATTCCCACCGGATCATCCCCATCCTTCCAGCAAAAGGTTCTGGACCACTGACCTCGGGTTTATCTATGCTCCAGTGAACCATTTCCTCAATGGATATAAATATCTGGGTTAAAGTCCATGCGTCACAGCGTGATAACCGCGTAATGTTCATAAATTGCCATCAGGCTGTCAGTGGTGTGCAACACATGCACTAGGTCTGAGCAGAGAAGGCTGAATTCATACTGGTTTATCAGTAGTCTATAAGTAGTTGGTCAGTACTTCTGGGTAAACTAAAAGCTCCCATTCTCTCACTATCCGAGAAGCTGGGTGGCATGTCGCCTGGGTTGATAGGAGCTTGTTTTCTTTCAAATCGCCAGAATAATAGGAAAGTGATGCCCAACGTGGCTTCGCCTACTCTCCGTTAACTTAGAACACGCCCTTGCGTTTCAAAAGATACCCTATATTGCGGCTATATTAGGCGTGACATCGGTGGACGCGAATAAAAGGCGTCCGAAAGCTGGATTATCACTAAGTTATTTCAGCTGGATCAACGATCGTCTCGAAATTGGTATTAGATGGTTTCCGAAAGTGGGCGGTTTTTTAGAAGGACGGAGGGACAAAATCTAAGACGTGCGCACTTTTATGTTGCCGATACCTCGCTTTTTGATCCTAGTTTGCTGTGTAATGAAGCAAAAGTAGGCAGAGTTGGCCAAACCCTACCCTTTGTGAGTCCTCCTTAGTTGCCAGGCTATTTCATTTGAGGCCATATCCACATAATAAATAATAATAGCAATACTAGTAGTAATAGTAATAATAATAATAATGAGAAGAAGAAGAAGAAGAAGAAGAAGATAATTCGATCATTAGAGCAAGAAGTCTATTGGCCTGTTTCGGATTCTCACTCAAAATCATCACCTGAGACAGTCGCCGATATGAGTAGTGGGGGAACAAAGAGTGCAATATTTGCAGTAGGTAATTGCCGTGGGAAAACACGTGTTCTACGATTAACAGCTCTCGCGATCACCGCTGGGGTCGTAATTGATGCGATTATGTCTCGTCAGTCCGCGTTGGAATGTACACAGGGCGGAAGCAACAATCAGGCGCCAGTTCATGAGGCCAAAATATCCACTGCAATGGTAGTTGTTTACAGGTTGGTACATTTTTGGATAGAGCAACTACGCCGGAGAAACTGGGAAATTACTCTGGACTAAAGGAGTCGGGCACACAGTGGCGGTGAGAGGGGGAGGAAAAACACTAGCTCTCGGGTAGCGGCTTACTCAACAGGACCTTGCCACATTTTCAAGCTTTAGGAGGCTGAAATCCTCGCATGCGGTGACACCCGCGTAGGCCGCGAGCTACTCGAGTCACAGTTCTCAGGCCCGCAATCCATCAACAAGCACAGTGACCTCCTGTTGCCATATTCGATGCTGAGACCCCCTGGGAAGGGGAATTAGTCACGTGGGGAGGATGCGGGCGAGCAGTAATCCCGGTTACAGTGGGCCAAATGGCCGAGCATTCATCACGCCAACATCCTACACGGATGATGAAATCGCGGCAATTAACGACTCGGACGCGGAATGACGAACCATAATCGCATCAATTACGACCCCGATCGCGAAAGCTGTTAATTATAGCACGCCTGCGATTCCACTGCAGCTACGTACTACAAATACCGCACTCTTTGAGCCTCCATTAACCATATCTGTCTGTCTTTAATAATGGGCTTGGGTGAGATTCCGAAACGTCAGGTAAATAAGCTTCCTCCTCTAGTGCTCTCATCTTCTTTCGAACTGCTTCCTGGAACTCACCTGTTCGCTTTCACGGCAATTTCAATCAAACTTGTAATCTTCCTATATCCCCACTATGGCTAATTGATGATACCAAAAAGCGAGAAGGTACTATTAGTCCCTTTCTACTGTTTTTGAAGTACTTTACAATACGAAGGAATCCCAGTGTCCCCGTAATACACTAGTACTTCCATTATCTGCATGGAGAAATTGCTGCCAATTCCTGAAAATTAGTAAACTATAGCAACTTGTCTGTTTAAGCAGATCGAGTGAAAGTGTACATCCAAGTGGTTGGTCAGTCACACATCGAAATGCTGTTTATTTACAGTTTAATTCTGGCCACAACAAACGACGACGCCTTCCGTTAGCAAAAAAATAAACCAACTTGCCTCCGGACCAGATTATACGTAGCTAAGTATTGGCCATGTAATTTTCGTGTTTATGATTTTGGTGCGACACTTGACTCGTAAAACACGAGTCTGGGAATTGAGTCTCCCATTCCCAATCGACGGCTTAGGAAATACACTTTGTCACAGGTATTCACATGGAAACCGGAACCGCCCACGGGTGCTGTCATGCCAAATTCATGGGAGCTGTTTAAACTGTTAATGATTAAGGGGAGGGCTGTCGAATAAATACCGACAGAGAAAACAGAGACTGAGACGGCCGTTTCCGACTTATTGACAGTCATCTGCCAGCCACACCCCAGATTCTGTTTGTAAGAAATTAGGACTCAAACGTGGGTCGCTGAGTGTTAAGTTAGATGTCTAGACACTCTGCTACGGGAATTTCTCGCAAATAAACGTGCACCGAAAAGACTTCAGCGCTTCAGGTATGTCAGGTTTCTAGTGTAGACATGATCTACAAGAATGAAGAGATTATCTAGACGACAATGGGATGTTTTCCGACGAAACGTCCTTCGTCGCGTGAATCGCTTACCCCCCTCTACCGACTTTGACATGGGGCATTAAGTTCCCAGCAAGCAAGATGGGCACGTAACTAATCCACGCCCCATGAAGCCAGGCCAATCATGCAAACGGAATCAATGGCGAAATCTACCAGCAGACCAACTGCGGTGAGGAAACTCGTCCACGTGCTCCACTCAGGTTTCGGAAATTGATGCAGAACTGCCTTCTGGTTTCACGAATGTGCATTTTTGGGCAGATAACTAGGGGGCGAGCAGATCGGTGCAGATAACACTACGCAGTAAGCCTTGAAATTGTTAAAAATTATCCTCCAGGATTTATCCTGACCCCCTTCCGTGGGGAAGGGGGGGGGGGTGGAGAACACGGAAAGCTGCCTATCACTGTGGTCGTAACACCAATATTAACACTGGCTCAAAACTTGAGCGTAACCCCAACCTTAACGCCAAAGCTGGCTTTAACTTTAAACCTAACCCTAGCACTGATAAATATTTCGCTGGGACTTAGCGCAAAGCCGCCTGTGTTAGGGATGTTCCTATTCTCGGGTCCTCCTAAGGGTGCCACATGAGCAATCCCTACCAAAATGTGGCATTTAGTCGGTCCGATGTGGTTATGTGGCCCCACCTGAAGTAAACAAACCCCAGCCACCTGTAATACGGGTTTTTACAGGTGGGGTCGGGAAGCGCACATGCGACGAGGTCAAGTAATTGTATGCAAGAGAAAAGCTAGTTGGAATGCGCGGTTGCACTTTGAATGCTTGAGAAATAGTAGCCCTAACCCCAAACGCAACCACAACAGTATTGTGTCCATCAGATGGGGCTACATAACCACATCTTATTATTTTATCCTTAAAATCGGACAAAAAGGAGACTTTATATCCGGCTTTACTCAATAACTCCACCTCCAGTTTAGAATCAGATAATTCCGCCAAAAGTTAAAAGAAAATTCTTACTCAGAAGGCCAGAAAGAAAAATCAACTATATTTGCTTTCACATAATTGTCAGAAAGGTGCATTAGCCGTTCGACAAGAAAATAATGTCGCACATGGTTGATTCTAACCGTTATTGAAAAGCCGTTATGATAATCAAAAAGTGCACGGCCGATATATCGAGACTGAAGAGGTATGCAAAGTTCACCGCAAAAAGACTATTCAGATCTTTTCCAGTGCCTGATATAGGTCCCACGCCAGGTCCCGGCAGTCCTCAATGCCGACAGACAGCCGAAGCATACTGTCTGTGATGTTGAGTTTTTCACGCATCTCGGGGGGAACTGATGCGTGCGTCATCAGGGACCTGTGAAGGGAGAAAAGGAACCCATGAGTAAACGCCTGGCTTAGATTATTCAAGTAATAAATCAAATTGCATAAGCATATCTCCCTGCTGGCATTAGTGTAATTAATACCGGAAAATAAATGACGGCTTCATGTCTCTGATTGGATTCCTATTTTGATAGATGGCTGCGCTCTTTAAGGCTCAGTGAGTTTATTCGATTGAAATGTGAGGCATGAACGGCCGGCCATGCGAAGCTTTGCGAATTTTAATCACAAGCTGCCGACAACAAATCGTTGAACAGATTTCAGTTTTGGCTGAGAGAGTTTCCGATTTTGCAGCTAAAGAATTGCCCTGCTAGTAAGCTTCGCTCGCTGGTCTTATCCACTTGATTTCAGCTATTTTTTATTCTTTCATCCTAAACCCTGCGATTTGATTCCTAAAGAATGATTTGGATTGTTATTAAACAAACGAGCGATCAACCGCTGGAGCGGTTTTCGACCGCCTTTTATTTCCGATTCACATTCATGTCACCTCTGCTTTGGGTTTCAGGATGAGCCCGAAAGTTCGGCCATAGAGAACTAATTAAGCTATCTAGCGCATCTCTCAATCTTTGGTGTCTTCGCCTTAGCACGTCCCGGGTGGGTCAGATTTCAGTTTTTATGCTCACTCAAATGGCAGCTTCAACATCTTCTCATGGACGCACAAAACTTGTACTTGGTACGGCTGCGATTATGCCTGATCTAGTCGGTCTCAACGATGTCCTGAACTGTACGTCTCCACGCGTGACGATCTGCGGTAGCAGATCTGGACTGTTCAACTCATTCTCTTCGCCAACAACGAAGGCCGAATACCGAAGGTTCAAGAACCACCTCCCTGTCTTGACGAATTGTGTCGAGCCAGGTATTGGGTTGATCTCCTCTCCAACGCCTCCAATGGGGTAACGGTACCGGATCGAGCGCGGTAACACTGAGCTCCTGAGGTGGACGACGAAGAACGTGCCAAACCACCTCAGTCGATTTGCTTGGATGGCTTGGGTTATCCTTGCGATGTTGTTGCAGCGAGCACGGACTGTCTCATTTGAGACGGCATTTATGTACTTTACTCAAAGGATGGTCCTCCATCAGTGGTGGTAAATGACTCCAGTTCTCGCTCGTCCTCCACGCGCACAGTCCAGCATTCACAACCATTAGGAAGTACAGACCGGATAGATGTACGGTACACACAAAACTGCCACAACACATTTGATGAGGGCTGTGTACTAGTTAATACTCAAAGATTTTTGACTTTACTTGCTTGGAAACCTGTCGGCAAACACACTTCCTGTGATCGCCTTTGTAAACAAACTTCGTGCTGATTGTGTTCCACGTTTGTTTCTATTCCATTTAACGTTGCAACGAGAACTTTCAACCAAGACTGAAGACCATGCAGCCACTCTGTTCCCACCATATTTCAGTCCCGTCGTGATTTTATCCTTGGCGTAAACAGTTTTTCATCCCCAAGCGCCACGGACGGTTGCATGGTGTTTGTACTGTCATGTATGCGAGTGGAGGAAATATATCCAGCAATAAGAGCGAAGCAAGTGCCTGGGTCTTCAGCTAGTACCTGTGCCATCTCTAGGGCAAATCGCGCAACATTTGTATGCTACTGGCTTCCTATTGACAATTTAGAAATGCTGCGCTGTTATTCCCCTAGAGCCCACAGATTTCGGCTCTAATGTTTATATCAGCTTTCGGGCTCAGCTCTTAAACCTCCTGTCTGGCTGATTTAGTCTAAATTATCAGCTAACATCTGAGGAAACAAAAAGCTCAAATAACTGCCCGGCTCTGTCCATTCCACTGCAAAAGCCGCAATCTCAATATTTGATTTGCTTTGTATTTTACATACAAATGTAACGTTCTAAGTGAGATAGCGACAGTGCATGTCCAAGATTTACCATAAATGTCCAGGAACTTTACTTTTTGCTAATCAGTATTTTGCGTTGACAGGTCAGTAGCATCCAAGCGCTGTTGCCGGTGCAAACCAAGAACTCCCGATATTTTGTCGAATGTTTTAAGCTTTTACGGACAATAAGATAATAACGGAATATAGAGATCACACGTAAAAGAAACAATACACTGCAGGGAGAAACTTATTCATGTTACTCAGTTCCACAAAGGGATGTCCATTCACTAGCCATATGTGTGCTTTTATCAAAGATGTTCGGTGCGTTAGCACTTGGAAACAATTGACGCATGCCATCCAAACCAGAAGTGATTAATCTTACGTCGCGTGCTTGAAAGAATAGGAGGACCTTACCAAAAACTTCCGAATGCTTTCCGTTTGTTTAAATACTCCAGTAGTTTCTAGGCTCGAATTTCGAAAAGAAACGACGGATATAATCGAACCCATCGGACAAATGTTAAGAAGTCAGAACCGACCTCTACAACATTCGCACTGATCTCACAGCGACTCCCGACACCATGAGCAGGAAGGCGGTCGGGACCATAATGACGAACTTCGGATGGTCAAAAAGATCCCTGCTAATGGCCAGGTACCTTCAAAACAGCTAACGGCCCGAATCACAAGGGAAACTGTCTAACTAGACGCAGAGCTTTTTAGACTCATAGTCTCCGCAAAGTCGATGAACGCTTGCCGCAGGGAAGTATGCGAAATCGATAGTGCAGGCTGTAAGGAAAATTTTCATGAAGATGATGAAGACCCTTATATTTGTCCACGACTGAGGGCTAGAAAAACCTGCTTGAAGAACAAATGTAACGGAGTACAGAGTTCTTCGCCTCAGAACACAGTGAATGTGCGTTGATCATAAACGCTACTTACAGATTGTAGTGCAGTAGACGGCGAAAAACTACAAAATATACTAGACGAATGGTCACTGTTAATTGTCGGCGTCTCGCCTCTATGAATCGGTTCGCCTGCCTTGAACACCCAAGCTCACGGAGCGGGCAACTGCGCAGGGGAAGTTAAACGCGAATTTGCGGTAAAAGCCTGCTTTTCGGTAAGTTCAAATCTGCTGTCTGGGATCATCGTCCCCGCGATTAGGATGCCCGGAATTGTCGCCTTAAATGCGTTTCTCTGCTATGAACTTGGCAGCCTCAAAATCAAGCAGGAGAACCCAGTGAAGTTTATTCTAAATGCTTTCAGAGAAGTCTGAAGACGATGCCTTGGTCTTCAGGTAGGCTGGCATGTCCAACAACTTCAAAATAGTGAGGTAAATTGCACTTCATTCGAGCGGTCACTACCTTAGCACCTTAGATCACTGCCTGTCGGTTCGAGTGTAGTACTGTGGCTTCGCCAGAGTTGCCAATTTCAAAAAACAGAAAATAGTCAGCAAAAACCTACTGAAAGTCTCATTCAGATATCTTGAAATCAACTCTTTTGGAGGATCGACAAGGACAGCGAACTGCTACCAATGCTGAAACGCATTAGTTGCTTTTAAAAGGCCAAGAAGCTTGTGGCCAGCATACCTACGGACAAGGCTCGGAATGCTCAGTCCGTTTTCGTTTATTTCAAAAATTTCGCAAAGAAATCTTGTTTACCCTCAGCCTCAGTAAATATCCAAATCCATATAGAGCAGGCTTAGTACTACATAAGCAGTATCAGTAATGTCTTTTGAAAGAAAACTACGACCTTTCGACCTTCGAAAAGTGTTCAAAATTTTGAATTTTTAATACCGAACTGCTTCATCGCTTGGACTCCTGCATCTTCGGTAGACGTAAACTCTACTTTAATCAAAATCGTGACCCCATCTGCGTGATCCTTCCTGTTAAATATATTTCAAGGGTTTCGGTAGATGCCTAATGAGATTAAGCTCGTAGGGTATGTTTGAATGGTTTCCCATTGGGGAGATATTTTAGCAGTAATGCTGCTTCAACTAGACACGGGCAGCTGCGGGCACTCGTCTCCGCAAAGGGGGACCCGGCTGCAGGAACCGTTCGACGCCGCCAGAGTCATGCAACATTGGATCCACAGATAGGTCAGACTACAAGAAGAGTTGACAATCCTACACCCCCCCCCTTCTCTCGCGCCCTCCGCGACGCCTCCTCTCCCGCTCTTTTTCTACCTGTCTATAAGGAATTAGCCTTGTAAAACAGAAACAAGCACATAATGCACCCTCACCGGTCAGGGTGACAGTTAAAACAGATGGAAAAGTTTCACGAAACTCCCAACCAGATAGGAGATGGCACTTTTCTTCTAGACGTCAAGATAATAGTTGGCCACCTTTTGGCATCTTTTCGAAGACGGTGTTTGAACGTTTAGTGTGCAAGGATAGCCAAAAGAGGCTGACCAAATCAATGCAATAGCACGTATAAGGACCGCTGTAAAAGCATACCGACTTACGGAATTTCGATCAGACTCTCGTAGCCACCCAAACTTTCGGCCAGAGCGAACAACTAAAATGCGAATAAAAAGTAAGAAGCTGTAAAAATGTATTCGAAGTTAATTTGGAATGGTACCTTCAAACACACGAATCCCATTATTTGGGGAGGAGGAGAGTGATCACAATGGAATGAGCTAATCAAAGTTATTAATTAATTAATTAGAAATGCGTGTTCTGGTGCTTCCTGCTTTCGCGTTGAGAAAATTGGCACGATTTATCGATTAGCGTCTGCCAGAGCAAAAATGACTAGATCAAAATAACTTGGGAAGGGTCTGTTACAAGAGCACGCCGTTTGCCACACATTAATGGGACTATACGGAAGGTAATTTTGGGCGGTCAAACAAGTTCCAGGAATCCACCTCTTCACCGACTGCCTCCACCGCACATTGTTCCAAGTGTGCGCCTTCTGGGTTCTGGCCTGGAAAGTGTCCTTAAACTACGTCGTCGTGTTTAACTTGACCTTGGTAAGCAGACAGTCATGTAGGTAACGGGGGCGCCGTGGCTGTCTAGTTAGAGGGTAAATCATGTAGGTGTTATATGTTGCATCACACAAATGCTGACTGTTCCGCACGATCCTTAACTGTCTCCCCGAAGCTAGGCACCGTCTAACGGCCACAACCTGGTAATCGCCTCGACTGGCATGCAAACCTAGATGAGCGTATCGAACGTTGTGCGTCCTCACACTCGGTACTCCTGCACCCCTCCTACACCTCCTCACTTTTAACATGCAGGCAACCTGGTAGACGGCCCGGACTAACCCGACTCGCTTCCCCACTGAACTTAGCCACGACTCATAGTGGATTTCGGCAGTCCGGGGAATGTCTAGGCAGGCCTATATATGGATAGCACCACTTACCCCGTCGTGGGGAAAGGGATAGAAAAGGTGCCCTGAACGAATGTTTGGGAACCACGCCATCCGCAGACAGACCGTGGGTCGCAGATAAACGACTCACGGTCGAGTCCATCAAGCCAAAAACAACTGTCTTCCGCATTCCGACGCCGAAGTAAGCAACCTGGATGCACCTCGATAGCGGCGCTAGCAGCTGATGAACTACGTACTCGTCTGGAGGAGAGATCTTCAGGAAGTGCTGCTGATCAAGGTGACGCTGACGGCTGGACGGATCAGCGCCTCGTCATCTTCGATATGAGACCTGCTGTAGCCTCGCAAGACGCCACAAGGTAGGCGACCACCTGGATTTCATCTACTGACCACTTAGATTTAAGCAATCAGGTAACCCAACGCCTGGAGGAACTGCAGGCTCCGGACGACAAAGCCGCCGTGGTGTCAAACGCGGGAAGTCCTCCAATCCGCTGTCTTAGATGTCCCCGGTCACGCACGTCATCAATACTAGGACTGGTTTGACGATAACGCCGCAGACATCGGCAACTATTTTACCGAAAAGCACAGGCAGCACGAAGTCTGCATCGACCGCAGGACCGACGCAAACAATGCGGCCTTCTTCACCTCCTTGTGCATCAACGGCTGCAGCATGTGCAGGACGCCTGGATGGGTTGCAGGGCCGTGGAAATCCAAGGGCATGCGGACCACAATGAAACCAAGGATTTTCTTCGCATCAACCAAGACGACCTACGCCCACACAGCCATAGGAACCGCATCGCTTCTCAGCTCCGACGGAACAACAATCTGCACGCCTTTCCAGCAGCTGACACCAGTCCCATCCTATACGGAGAGGGCAAGGACAAACTACCAGCTCAGACCACCTCAATGTGTATTTACTCCTTCACCTGCTCCTGTGGGCAGAATACACTGGACGCACGTGCCGGCGTTTATCAAAAAGAATAAAAGGACATCTTATAGCACAGTTAGGAAGGGGTCAAATAAAGAACATCAACAGCTCGATCCTCGCGCACATGTTAGACGCAGGCCGCGGTGTGGACACCAGAGAGGCCTTCAGAGTGATTTACAAGGTCACGTCAAGCTGTCCAAAACGACCTGGGCAGCACTTGTTGGCTACGGCAGAGGCGGTTGCAATCAGGCTATGCGGACCAGTCCTATGCGCACAGAAGAACTTCATACAGGTCGCACAGCTGCCATGGGTCAAAGCCATTAAGCCAGCCACCTTCCCCGGTACCCACCTTTTCCCTGGCGCTGACTGGAGCTGTGGTGTTTCACTCTCCACCTCCCCTCCCATCCCCTCCCCAAACCCGAGTTGCAGCATAATTATCTACGTGCCCGTATCTTTTAATTCATTACTTCAATAGCCACATAAATGTACAGGCTCGAAGAGAATTTATCGAAGGCAGACGGGTGCTCGCCCAAATTGCCTTTAGAACAATTATATCGGCACAGCTTCGATGCTAAGTTAGGGAAAGTTATGCAAAAAACGTCGTTTCCAAAACAGCCAAAGACCCGCACTTGTAGGATGCAAATCGCAGACTAGCGGCCTGCGATTCAACTTTATTCATATTGACCCAAATGTGAAAAACTCGGCGCCTCAGTGGGATTCGAACCCACACAGTAAGGGGAAGGCTTAACTTTCAACTTTATCTTTCGAGCACGACACTATACAACATCAACAGGATTAGTCTTCCCATTCATCGTAGTTACTAAGTATAGTATGGGCTCAGTATACAAACGCGTTTAGGACGGACTTCCGACCCCAAATTGTGTTTTCTATTGCTGTGCAAAGCCCTAACACATTCTCTGCCTACCTGTCACCCCCTATATGGTCATCGTCATTAACCGAAACAGAAGAAATTAATTTAAGTTTTTTCTGCCTATTTGCCTTTTTACGCTGACCTTGAGATTAGAGACAACATTCAAGGGTGGCAACTATTGATAACTAACTTTGAAGACGGGCTTCAGGGTTGGACAGGTGCGGCGGACACTTTTGGCTGCACGGCACCTATTGATAACTAAATTCCCATGGAATAACCGCAAGTTCTGAGGCGCTGGGCCGAACACTTAAGCACCGTCCTCAACCGCCTATCGGCATTTACCGATGCCGTCATCGACCGATTTCCCCAGGTGGGAACGAAAAACCTAGACCTGCCACATTCTGTCCCAGAAACAATTAGAGCCGTGCAACAGCTCTCAACGAGAAGGCATCTGGATCCAAGGTAATCGCGACCGGAGTTTACGGGCATGGCGACCCCCCGGCTGACGGCAAACTTACAGCGCCCTACCATATGTGGCTCCATTGATAAGTTCTCCAAAATTTAATGGACGCGAATGATTTTCACTTTTACAAGCGGAAAGGTAAGCGGCCAGTATGCGACAAGCACAGAAAAATCTCGCCGTTCAACATCTCCGGGAAGATCTTCGTTCGCATCCTTCTTTATCGTCTCCACAACTCTCTGATACACGTTCTTCTTCCGGAAACCCAGTAGCTCCTGACGACACCTCGGAACCCCCGACATGGTTTTTGCCGCCCACCGGTCGCAATGGAATGCCAGGAAATGAGGACACATCTCTACATTTCCTCCTCAGATCTTGCGAAAGCCTTCGACACAGTGAATCGCGATGGACTCTGAAAAATCATGCAGAAACCAGGCTGCCCTAAGCGGTTCACGCACAGGGTGTGTCAGCTTCACGGCGAGATAATGGCGCGGGTAACGACAAATGGCACTTCCATGGAAGCATTCGTAGCGACCAGTGGAGTAATGTGGGGCTGTGTACCCGCCCTTACTCTCTTCGGTCTCGTGTTCTTTTTCTACGCTCTGGGATCAGCATGGTCTCCCATATCGTCAGCCAAATTCTCAGTACTGGACACATACAGGCATCCAACGCGCCTACCCACGATCTGCTCTTCGCTGTCGATTGCGCACTCAGCATCGCGACAAAACCGCATACACAACGGGACATGAACTTTTTTTGACTGTGCAAACTTTGGGCTAACGTTTAGCACAGAAAAAACGGAGATGATGCTTTATCCGCCACTCAACGCTGAATACGACCCCTCCCGCATCACAGGCAACGTCGCCTAAATCAAAAGCAAAAGTAGGTTTACATATTTAGGCAGCACACTCATGCAGCATCCAAATCAGCTACGAAGCGGACCGCCGGACCTCCGAAGCCAGCCAACTAGGCCACACTATCTCGAAAGCCTAGACTATCTGTGTTATTTTCCATCAGATGCGTACAAGCTCACACAAGCAACTTTGGAGACAGGCTTCAAGGTTGGACAGGTGTAGCGGACACTTTTGACAAAATTTTGGGTGGCTGCCACTTCGGGTCCAGCAAAGGCGCGCTCTATTTCTTCCGTTGCCGAACTCGACTCCAGGCACAGGTTCGCAGCGTTGGGGAGGCACGCCAATTACCTTCATAAGGGTCCGCTGGACAGTGACGGCGGGTTACGGTGGTATGACTACTGTGCTATACCCAGTCCCGTTGCGTCATAAATGTGTCCTGTGAGTCAGATTGGGCCAGATTCGACCGATCAGGTGTCTCTACCCGCTGAATTCTTCTAGCCAGTTTCTCCGGTCACGAGAACAGCAGCGGAAACAATACGTGCTCTGCTTTAAGGCAGTTATTTTAATCGACGTAAGTATTAGACAGTCCGGGTGATGATGATGATGGTGGTGGTGGTGGTGGTGGTGGTGGTGGTGGTGGTGGTGGTGGTGCAAAATCATGCAAGCAGCGTTGTGAATGGCCTCCCACTCGCCTCTTCTACACTGTTACTATCCAGAAGGGTGTTTGGAAGGGCAAGGAGTGTGGGAAACTGTATTTGCAGAAATTGTTGACAAAACTGGTCTTACCTTCGTGTCTCTCACGAATTGTGCCGCCTTCTGGGCTGAGCACTTTAGGTACACAGCAATCATTCCGCTGAATCCGCACATTTGTTTCACAGCTAGGTCGTGCTGGGGGTGCGATTGGAGACCTTGAAATGTTTAAAAAGGCACAGTTTCAAAGCACACCTAGAATATAATCGAAGTTTCTTTCTATAAAAATAAATCTTAGTGTTTTTTATGGAATGTTGTGACTAGATATACCGGCGAATCTAACGCCTCCAAACTAAACCGCTGGCACGGCTGTCTGGGTGCCTTATGGGTAAGGTGGTATCACTGACCGCGGCAAGACGACGCCTGCATTTGACGGTTCGGGTTTTTCTTGGGTCGAATTAGGAGCGTCCTTCGCACATTTAATTACTCAGAAGTTAGATCCGCGTTACCCTGAGAAATGCGGTCGATGTGCTAACTCATGAAATGTTAACTGAAATCCTGTAATGCGTTTTCGACTTGAAAAGACTATTTAATTAGGGTTTAAATATTAAGCACATTGCAGCATAATCCCATGATAATTCAGGTTCGTCGAGATATCGACTTTTGAATGGATTCCTTTTCGGTCGCCTGCAAAAACTACACTCCATAAAAATGATTACTTAAGTAGTACTAAATTTCCTCACTGATTTTCGATGCTCTTATAAATTCAAACATATTTCGAATAATTCATATTGACACGATTGTGAAAAACTCGGCGCCTCGGTTGGATTCGAACCCACGCAGTAAGGGGGAAGGCTTTAGTACAGCCAACGCTCTAACCAACTGAGCTACGAGGCCCCTTCTCGGCGCCTCGGTGGGATTATTCAAAATCTGCCAAATATCAATGAATATTTCGAATAATTCATATTGACCCAACTGTAAAAAATTGGCGCTCCGGTGGGATTCGAACCCACACAGTAAGGGGAAGGCTTTAGTCTAGCCAACGCTCTAGCCACCTGGGCTACGGGGCCCCACCGGAAGACGTGAGTTCAGTCGTATTTGGGTTAAGTTGCCCGCCCAACCTATTGCAACGTCTGGGATCCACCAAATCTGATACAGTAAGTTAACTGACCACTCATGATTTCCTCAGTAATTCACCTAGGATCCACCAGATGACTACCAGGCTCACGTAATTCATAGATTCATTATTCTGACATATTTCAGGAAACATGCACAAAACATTCATTATTTCTGTTATGTGGTAGAAAATCACGTCCTTTTCAGATTTTATACTTAAAGGAATGGTAGAATTCGGCTTTAGAAAACCTTTTCAGTTCTGAAATAGTTTTGAACTGGACCTGGCGTTACACTTGTAGCCAGGGTTTCCAAACCACAAGCTGTATATTTTCTGTGTACGGGGAATCATACATTTCTTTACGGTATTAAGAAGACACTATATGAAGTTCATGAAATTTGGCAGTGGATCTGAGTCATATTGCAAACCTTACAAGCAACATTAGTAAATGCAGTGACAAGATGTTTTGTGAGCAGACGTTTCAAGGTCTTAAAAATCGCATAACCAGAAACTCTGTTTAAACAAATCAAACGCTTCTTTTAAATATAAAATTTAAAGAAGATGTAATTTTCTACAAAAAGGGTAAAAGAGTGGATATTTTTACTCATGTTTCCTATGAAACATACGGAAATTTATTAGGGCATCAAAAATTACTGAGAAAATATCATACTAATAAGTAGGCTTTCTTTTCACTAAGTATCGTTTTTGCAGGCGACCGGAAAGAAGTTAGTTCAAAAGCTGGCATCCCGCAGCAACTGCATCATCGTCGGCTTATGCGGCACTTTGATGCATATTACAGCCCTACTTAATTAATATTTTCGAGTTGAATACGCAGTTCGGAATTTCGGTCAACATATAATCAGTTATCACATCTACTGTATGCAAAGTAACAAGTTTTATTACTGAAAAACGCTCATCCAGATTTCTTCCCGAATTGAAATTGGATTCCGATGTGACGGCATGCACGGCGTCGGTGTACGCTAGGCGGGGCACGTGAATTTGATCCAAGGGTGTATAATGGTAACAAAAAACGAGCTTTGGCTTAGGAATAACTGCAACTGGCGGTGCTTTCGACGCCTTGCAGAAGTTGCCAAATGCGAATTTCCGTTCATCTTTTGCTGACAAAAAGATTTTTGATGTGGGATTGACGGATTTAATTCGAAAAGCATGTTAGCCGTCGCCTTGACGTTACAATGGCTTGGGGTGCTGTAAATGCAAGTGCCCGTGCCAGTAGCATTTGGAGTCTACCAGAACAAGTTCAGAAAGTAGCCGTGCCGCTGCTTAAAGATAGCCTAAGCATGAAAATGGGGAAACCTCTTCTTCGGATGAGCAAAATGAATCAAAAATATGCCTACACCCGTTTTCTCCATGTGTTTTCGTATATAAGAATTGCATCGCCATCTGCGAACATGCCTTTCTAGAATGCGAGTACCCGTCTGGAGACAGTGTTCTTGTTTAAAGCGTTGAAATATGCTGCAAACAGTACGGAATCGACGTGAAAGTCAGATGCATGTTGCGGAAATTCCCACAGTAGTATTCAGAAGGCAACTTGGCGAGCATACCTTTACTTGCGACAAATTCTCGTGAGGCCAGTACATTTATATGGGAACGGAGTTAAGTAGGACATGTCAGTGATTAGAGAACTCGACTAAAGTTGGTCTTAAAACGCAAAAGGGATGTGGGAATGTGAGGGGGTGAGTTGAGAGTGGAAGGACGTCGAGCGTCGCATGTAACCATTCGAACTGTGAACACGGTAACTTAGAAGCACGAACGAGGTTCTTCTGAGTGCCCAAGAAGGGCTTTTGTTATCTGATAGCGGCCGCTTCTGCTCTTGCTAAAGGCCACCTAGAGTAGTACGATAGAACATTAAGAAGCATACAGTGAGTGACCGATCTCATGAAATGTTCGCTGAAATTCTGAAATGCGTTTTCCATTAGGAAGGATTACTTGGTCGCGGTCGTGATACTGATTATCTTAAGGCATACTCTTATAACATTTTAGACTCCGCAGGATGTCGGCTTTAAAATGCACTTCTTTTCAATCTCCTGTAGAAAGCGTACTCGGTAAAAAATGACTACCTAAGTAGCATGCATTTTTCCCATTGATTTTCGATGGTCTTGGAAATTCAAACATATTTTATAGAAACCACAAACACAATAAGCCTTCTTTTAGTCAATCAATAGAGAATCACGTCTTCTTTATATTTAATACTCAAAGAAGGAGTATAATTAGGTTTTAAAAAAGTGTCCTAATTGCCGAATCATTTGGGGCGTGATCATTCGTTGCATTAGCGCTTACTGATTTCAGTCTACAAAGTGCATGCGTTCCGCGTAAAGAAAATCGCATATTTTTTCATGCCATTAAACAGATACCATACGGGTCGATAAAATTTTGCAATGGATGCGGACCATGTTGTACATTTCATGAGGAGCAGTGGTAAACGGCCAGGTACTATGCTATGTGAATGGACATTTCGCGGTCTTAAAAAGTCTCATAATTAGAAATTTTTTAAAACCTAATTATACTCCTTTCTTAAGTATAAAATATAAAGGAGGCGTGATTCTCTATTGATTAACTAAAAGAATGCATATTTTTGTTTATGGTTTCTCTAAAATATATTTGAATTTGCAAGACCATCGAAAATCAATGGGAAAAATGCATGCTACTTTAGTAGTCACTTTGTACCGAGCACGCTTTCTATAGGCGATTGGAAAGAAGTGCATTTAAAAGCCGACATCCGGTCGAGTCCGAAATGTTATAAGAGTATGCCTTAAGATAATCAGTATTACAACCGTGACCAAGTAATCCTTCCTAATGGAAAACGCATTTCAGAATTTCAGCCAACATTTCATGAGATCGGTCACTCACTGTAGGAACAGCTTCGCTGGGGTCCACGCGATGCCGGGAGTCAGCGTGTGCCACAATGACGCGGTTTATGCTCCTAATTTCGCCTTAGCTCATTCATGCCGAGAGGTTTTCTCGTAGTCTTTTGGATAGGCGCCGACTCTTGCGGCCGATATAACTGGCTCTGGAGGAGCAAGTGAAGGTGGTCCCTAGCTTCTCCGTGCGAAATGGGATTAACAGGGAATGGTATTCGAACCATTACTGCTGGCAAGATTCGTCAGGCAGCTTGATCGGTGCATTTTCTTGAGAGGTTACTTGTAGTGTGCCCTTGAAGATGTAGTAGGTCTGCTGGATACCCGTAATGAAACTGGTCATGGCGAGGCTTTAACTCTGCATCGTACAGGCACCAAGTTTGGTCCTAAGTGAAACGGTGTGTGCCTAACGTCTCGAAATCAAACAAGTTTCAGCCGTCGACGGGTTCACAGCGGCGCACTGCTGGTCAGGGGTCATCCGTTAAGGCCCCGCAGGGTGGGGGGAGGGGGGAGATGTAGTCGCAGCGACTGCTCTCCTTCATTCCGACCTGTCGTTGTGGCAGTGACCATTGTTTATAGGAGGAGGTGGCAGGGGGATGCCTGCGACGATGACGACTACTCAGTACAATTATCGCCCGCATTAGAAAAATTGTCGTAGACGGTGCCTGAGGTCACCGTGTCAGTTCTGGGTTTAATTTACTACACCAACAACCGGTCTGTCTGTCCATAGCTAGAACATGCTCGATCCACACGTAAACAAATACAGAAGTAACCCCGTGAAAAGTAGTTCTGCCGTCTGGATAACGCACTACCGACCCAAACATCCGGATCACCCCTCTACTGAAAGACCTAGACAAGTCTGGAAAAATTTAAGTTAATCCAGCGAACCAGAGTTCGTTCATTTATGTTAAGGCACTAAACATTTTTTAGTGTCGGTAAATGTTTTGTTGATAGTTTATGCTGGCCAACAAACACCGTCGAAATTTTGTGGAAAATAACGGTCCTTGGATTGTCCAAAAACCAAAAGATGAAATGCATTTTGAAAACAAAGAGACTAGAAACTGTCAACATCGAAAACAACTGTAGGTAACCCATCTAAACGATAGATTTTATTTAGTTTGGTGAGGTGTTTAGGACTTTTTAATGTGTCAGGGTTTGTGTAGGCAAAG